AAGGCCTACTGAAATGGAGTATGCCCAAGGCAGATCTGAATGAAACGAGCGCCAGACTTCTCGAACGTGAGAGATAGTCTTACAATTAGAGCAGACTCAGTAATTTTTTTCCTTTATTTTTATTATTCTGGGTACTGCTTGATCATTTGTTCTCTCTATTTGCATGTCTATTGCTTCCTTATCGGGGACTTAAGCACTTCAGCTGCCTGGCTCCCCCTGAATGCTGAGGACTTAATTAATTTTAATATAATATCCAATGGTACAATTTGCTTTTCAGGAGGAATTAACTCCTGAGCTGTTGAGCGGCAGAAGTAAATAAACACATATAGGGAGGCAGCGGAGAGAACGGGCCTCCCTGTGCCAAGACTGATTTGCATATATATAGTTGCCGAAATTGTAATGAGGAACGATTTGTCTAATGGTCAGCATGTATTGTAATGCAGAGGAAGAGTTGTTAGCAATGATCACAGGCCAATACCCCTAAACTCGAATGGATCTGGAAACTGGGCTGAGTGCATGGTTTTAACAGGTCAACTATTCCCCTCTGCAAAAGGCCAATCTCCATATCTGTTTTTTCATGCAGAAGGTCCCAGGTTCAGTTCCCGGTGTCTCCGATTAAAAAGATCTGGCAGGAGGTGATTTGAAAGGCCTGTGCCTGGGACCGTCGAGAGCAGATGCCAGTCCCAGTAGACAATACTGACTTTGATGGACCAAGGTTGCAGTCACATGCGCCAGAAAAAAAATTGGGCAAAAAACTCTATGGTCACCATAAAGGGTTTTTTTGCCGAAATGCTAGAGTGTCCCATGCATTACTTGCCTGGTGCCATGATGTCACTTCTGGGTGACGTCATTGAACCAGGCAGATCAGGTGGGATGGGCTCTTTTGGGGGGGGGCTACCCCTGCTGGCCTGCTGGCCAGTGGCAGATTCCAGCCCCTGAAATCGAGGGAGCCCCGCCCCCATCGAGGAGATGGCAACCCTAGGCAAAAAAGAGGTGGGGAGAGGAGAGTTTGGGGAGAGGAGGGAGCTTAGCAAGGTTGTAGGTCCAGAGTCCACCCTCTGAAGCTCCATCTTCTCCAGGGGAATTGATCTATGTAGTCTGGAGATTAGCGTAATTCTGGGAGAACATCAAGTTCAGCCTGGAGGTTGGCAACTTGTTTTAGCAGGACTCTTATTATCTCTTGATGCCATTTGCTGGGAAAGGACAGCAGCTTCTGGGGGGAAGGTTTTGGTCCCTGGTGGTGGTCTTAGTTGTCTGGTCAGTGACTATGAACAATAGAGGAGTGGATATGACTGTCCTCCAAGGAAACTCCCTCCACCTTAAGAGACTCTTCCTCCAACAGAAGATTAACTGAAGATGGAGGAAAGCTCCTTCCGCTGGAGAAAGGCTTCACACTTTTCTCAGCAGTACAGGGATAGTATCCGCCACAGAATGTTGGGAAAATTGACTCTTGGTCCGATCTAGCATGGTTGTTCTTGTGTTAAAGAAGGTAAGCCCTGAACACTGCTGCTGCAAAGTGGTCGGTCCTTCCATAGAGCTAGTTTGATGTAGCAGTTAGGAGCACGGACTCTAATCTGGGAGAACCGGGTTTGATTCCCCACTCCTGCACAGGCAGCTGCTGGTGTGACCTTGGGTCAGTTACAAGTTCTTTCAGAGCTGTTCTCCCAAGAGCAGTTCTCAAAAAGAGCTCTCTCAGCCCCACCAACCTCACAGGGTGTCTGTTGTGGGGAAGGGACGGGAAAGGGATTGTAAACCGCTCTGAGACTCCTTCAGGGAGTGAAGGGTGGAGTGTAAATCCAATCTCCTCCTCCTCCTCCTCCTCCTCCTCTTCTTCTTCTTCCTGCGGCCTTGACAGGTGCCCACCAATGCCCACCTCTGTTACAAGCTCTGAGGGCAGATAACTTTCTGTTTTTGTGAACATTCGGAAATTCCTGACAGGATGGCATACATTAGCCACCTCAGGCAATGACTCAGAGTCGCAGGGGTCTTGCTGGGTCACATCTTAGTACATGGCTGGCCATATGCTTCTGTTGATAAATGGCCTCTCTTGGGCTTAACATGGGATGCCCTTGGCCCCATTTCCTGCCTCACAGCTGACTGCGCAACGGAGGCACACCATCAGTCACCATAAACACGCTGCCTGTCTTGCATTGTTGTTTAATTAAACAACGCAGATAATTTCCAGCCCTGCTTGCGGTATAAATATTGTCCAATGCTTCAGCTCCATTTAACCTTAACACACACACACACACACACACACACACACACACACACACACACACACAAAGAATAATGAGACAGGGCATGGAATACACAGCAAAAGTCAAATAATCTATACAAATATTAGTCCGTGCTTATTTTCCACCTGGCTTCAGGGAAGAAGACGGGCTACCTCTGTGAAGGAAAGGAGAACCGTCTTTTTTATGTTTTTATTTTTAAGAAATCCCATTTACTGAACATGCCAGGCAACTACGTAGGCCAGTGGCTTGCAGATTGTTTTCCATGAAACCGTGCGTTCCCCCACAACTTTATCATATTGTGTATATTTAACACAATTTTAGTGCCCCTTTTCACACACTCACAAAAAAAAAATCTCCTCCAGATAGGGTTCCCAAGTACCTACCTACGATCCAGCGGGGGACACATGCTTCCCCGCTGGAAGATTCTTGCTTGGAACACAGGCGCTGCACTATTCCGTCGCCCAGACATGACGTAGGGATGTAGCTGGGCGATGCTCTGGTAATGGGACTGGAAACTCGATGGTCCATGGGGTCGCAAAGTCGCAAAGAGTCGGACTCGACTGTGCGACTGAATAACAACAAAAAAACAACAACCCCAAAGCAATAATAGCAGCACTTGTAGCTTTAAGAGTTACATGCCCTCAGTGGTTGTTGCTAGGCAACCACAACAGTATTGACAGTGTTCAAGTCTTTATTTCTGTCAGTAAAAGGAAGGGGAAGGGATCTGGGCCTTTGAGGGATCACTCATTGGGGCCAGGCCCAACAGCAACCACACGCAGTCCAGGCTGCTCACTACTGTTCAGTGTCAGCCACCACATGAAAGCCAGCGTGGAATAGTGGTTAGAATGTTAAACTAGGGTCTTGAATCCCCACTCCACCGTGGGTCTCACTGGGTGACCTCACTGGGTGACCTCACTGGGTGACCTTGGGCCCGTCACACACTCTCAGTCTAACCAAACTCGTAGGGTTGTCACAAAAATAAAACGGAGAAGAAGACAATGATGTGAGCTGCTCTGTGCTCCCATTGTGGAGGAAGGCAGGGTAAAAATGGAGCAAATGAATAATAAATACAGCGGAATATGGGGCAGCAGATAAAAGGTGGGTGGGTGGCAAGGGCAAAAGGAAGCAGGAAAAGGTGAGCCTGTGGGGACTGCCAGAAAGACAAGAAGAGGAAATGGTGTAGGGAAAAAAGGGAAGAAGATAGAGTGCAGGTGCCCCCACATAAGTCCTTTTGGGTTCCCCACTGAGTTACTGGGCTTGGCTGCCAGGGGGAGGGAAGGAGGGGAAGCTGAATACAGGGCAGGGGGAATGCTAGGTTGACTGATGGGTGGGAAAAAGAAGGAAACAGGGGGGAAAGGGAGAGGCTGTGTGGATTTTCAAGGAAGAAGAAGAAGAGGAGAAGAGATTGGATTTATACCCCACCCTTCACTTGGAGTCTCAGAGTGGCTTACAAACTCCTTTCCCTTCCCCTCCCCACAACAGATACCCTGTGAGGTGGGTGGGGCTGAGAGAGCTCTGACACAAACTGCTCTTTTTCAAGGACAGCTGTGCCAGAGCTTGTGACTGACCCAAGGTCACATCAGCAGGTGCAAGTGGAGGAGTGGGGAATCAAACCCGGTTCTCCCAGATTAGAGTCCGCGCACTTAACCACTGCACCAAACTGGCTCTGAATAACAACAAAATCGAGGACAGAAGCATCATCCAGAAAGATGAAGTCTTCGAGTGTCCCTAGCAGAGGGAAGACATGGTACGAAACAGGTTTTTAATAAACCACATGAGAAATAATGCAAAGTAGGAACAAATAGGCCATATTCCTCAATGCCTCAGTAGTGAAGATTGCACAGATCCATAGTTTTTGTCACATATTGGCCCGGTTCACACGGGGCATTTGCCGCGCTAAAGATAAGGATTATAGGTGGATTTTCCGGGCGTGATCACACCGCAACATCTGGGAAGCGTAGTGCTCCCATGGCTAACCCGTGGCTTCCCGCCGAAGATGTGGATTAAAAAACTGGTACTTATGAGGTACTAGTTTCCAGAAAATGTGGGGCAAGGGCGGGCATCTGATCGTGTCCCGTCCTAGTCCCGTCGCAAACCGGTTACTTTTTTTAAAGTCTGCACAGGATGCGCACAAACGATTATGTGCATGCTCACCTTTTGGTGAGAAAAAATATTCCCGTTTGCCACGGAAGCAGCGCCTAGCAATTGCTGGTGTGATCGCACCGTGCCGCTTCTTTGCCACGCAGCAGGATAACCATGTGATCGGCACCTCACGCCCTAACCTCGGGACCTCGACGGGATGTGTGATCGGGTGGCCACGCATTATTTTGCTCCGGGGAAAACAGCCACGCTCCCCCCCCCTCGCATTTTCCGGCCCGTGTGACTGAGGCCAATGTTGATAAAAAAAAATTTGGGTCGCAGGGGTTCAATTTGGAATATATCGTGTCCTGTCTATAATACCATTTTTCTCCCTTCTGTCCCTCTATAGAGGATGCTTATAAAACACAAGTCCGAATAGATGACGAACCTGCTTACTTGGACATTTTGGACACCGCTGGACAAGTGAGTAGTTTTTCTTCATGCACGAATTTTGTTTGCCACGAAAATTTTGCCCCATACAAAATTCACCAGTGACTGGGGAAACAAGTCCATGGCTGGATAAATTTAAAGGGAAGCCACCGAAGTTTCAGGAAAACTAGCAAAAATCCGGGCAGGAGAGATCCAGGTTTAGAGGAAAATATCCCACAAGGGAACATTTCCTTCTTAGCCGTAGTACTCTTCTGTCCTGCCCACCATAGGAAAGAGAATAAACATTAGAGAAGCTGCCAAACTTTGCTAGTTCATTGCTTGACATTAAAGCTCCACCACACTCGTTGACCTTAGAAATATTATGAGGACTGATGCTTACTAAAGGGGTCTTCTCCACGAAAGTCATAATAATTTAGGCTGTTTACTGCATTGAGCAAGAGGGGTTGGACTAGATGGCCTGTACCTCCTCTTTAAATTCTATGATTCGATGATTTTATGATTCCATGAATCGTAGATTGGATTTTACTTATCAACATTGCAGATCGAGTCTTGTCTTTCTGTGGGGAAACTGACTTGCCCAGCCAGAGGGATTCTCTGGAAGGAAGTATAAACAGTGGTTTATAAGATTATGCATGGGATAGAGCAGATAGAAAAAGAAGTACAAGAACTCATGGGAACTCAATGAAATCGCTGAGCAGTCGGGTTACAACAGATAAAAGGAAGTACTTCTTCACCCAGAGAGTGATTACCACATGGAATTCACTGCCACAGGAGGTGGTGGCAGCTACAAGCATGGACGGCTTCACGAGGGCATTAGATAAGCATATCGAGCAGAGGTCCATCTGTGGCTATTAGCCACAAGGTTGTCAGCAAGCTGCCATTGAGTGTTATATTGCTTGGAGTATGTTCCCTTCCCCCCTGTTCCTTTTGCTTCTGTATTCTGCACCCTCTCGCTTCTTAGATGCCTGGAACAGCTCAAGGTTACCCAGCTTGGTTGTAAAGGAGTAACTCTGTTATCTGCTGCCTCGTTAGTGGTGTCTATTATCTATGAACCAAGGGCCTGTTTTGAGAAAGGCAAACCGTTATGTTCTCATGCAATTGCCTGCCAGTGCATATCTTATTCGCGCCGGCGGGAAAGAGATCTATTGGTTACAGTTTGGTTCAATTCCCTTTATCATGGTCCCCTTTGGGGTTTGTGTCCATTCCTAACAATTCTATTGTTCCTGCTTCTTTCAAACGCTTTGAAATAAATTTTGCTTTAACCTTTAAATGTGGATTTGTTTTGGAGACTTTGGAGATTCAACATTTTGTTAGGAATCCTTCTTCCTCATCGTCCCGAGTCTGATTGCAATCATGAGCGGGACAGAGGGGAACGTACCTACCACGGTACCGACAACAGTACCTACGACGGTGCCTACGACAGTACCCGCAACGGAGGGGGACTTATTCGGAGTCCCGGTCACCTCAGCGGGCCCACTGATCACCACGGCGGCCGGCTGGGTCCCTATGACGGGAGCAACGGGGGGGACGGTACCTCGCCCGAGCTATTTGCCATGGCCGCCTCCGACCCCAAGTCACTGGGGCAGGAACCAGGTGCAGGCCAACGAAGACTGGACTATGTTTGATACCCAAGGCACGCGGGAGACTTATTCCTACCGA